TAAATGAGTATTATATGAATCAGCATTTTCAATGAAAGAGTTTCTTGACCTAATAATTACTGCTATATAAGTCATTCACCGGAATCTATGAGGAATGACTAATATTATTTTAGTTTCTACAGAAACGTGAGAGTAAGATATCAGTGCCTAAACCGTAAAGGATGACACAGGATTTCGTGAGGTAAATATAAAAGTGTTTCATGGTGTAACATCCTGGCGACGATGCCGTCTTCCGGATTGTTGCAGATACCTTAATAACCTTTTCTGTTAAAACATGTGGCGTAGGTAACACTACGAATATTGAGACATATTTTAACTCTTGAATATTGAGACATATTTTAACCAGCTTCAGCTTTTAACATAAAAATATTACTTCCTCTTAAGACATATAGAGATGCATATAATACTTCCACTTAAGTAGAGTAACATCGCATTGTTACACCTACTTTCTTGTTATACTATTGTTGCATTTTTTATCATTAATAATATTATCACTACCATTTATACTTGTAAGCTCGTCTGTCTGAGCATTTCTAACACCTTTATTTGCAATCAATTCGTTTTTTATAGCCACTGCTGGTATTTTCTTTTGTTATCGCTTACAACCTCCTCAACAAACTGGCAAATGCTCCATCGAGAACATCTGACATCTGTACAATGAGCATGCTGCAGAAAATCGACTTGAGTACACTAATGGCAAAAAATGTGGAAAACTTTTTAAAAAAATGTGTTTCTGAGGTTGCCGGGTCACCACTTTTAATATATATATCAGTCATAGCACCACTTAAAATATATTGTAATAACATTTATGAAGGGACTGTTATTAGAAAAGCAGTTCTAAAAAAGAAAATTAAACAGGCTAAAAGTCACGTCATATCGTTTAATATTCAGGGGATAACCTTTCAGGATTTAATGACCGGCTTATAACGCCTTCCTATGAGCTGAACCAAGCGTTTTTCGTTTTGCAGTTATGATAAAGTGAAGCCAAGATTAAATTATTCCTTTTAATTCGATTTTTATTGCCGAGTTGTTTCTGCCTAAGAAATTTTTTTTTTTTTTGGTCGGCTTCGAAGATTTTCAAAGAGATTAAGGTCTGCGCTTATTCACAATCCATTCTAGCAAATGTTATATAATTATCTTGAAACCACTTCTTACACACTGTATCAGCATCACGTGGAGTTGAATCCTAATGAAATGTAAATTTTGCTTTATCTTGGAAGACTGAAAGACCTCCGTGGAAGACTTTAGAAGAGTGAAAGGAAGAGTAATAGACGTGCCGAAGAGTGAAAGACGTGCGGAAGACTTCCTTTTGGGCTCATTGTTTTTATTTATAGGTACGTCTGTGCGTTTATATTTATATCCATTAATAACGCAAATTCTACCCTGACCTTTAAATGTCATAAACCAAGGTTTTAGTGCTAATTGGGTGTGTCACGGTAGGAGCAGTTAGGGTAGAAATCTTCTCCTCACGTACTTTATGCTGTCTCTATCAAACACGGAGATCTTGATCTCATCACTCCAAATAACGCATTCCATTGTTCAGCTGTCCAGTCCAGAGTTTTAGCCAAATTTACTCTTTTCATCTTCCGTTTGGAAGATAACCATGACTTTTTTAGTGGAATTATAGTATTTAGGCTGAATTTCTGCGGACTGCGCCGAATGAATTTAAGCAAATCGTACCGCATTGTCGAACATAGTTCAAATGCAATATCGTCACTGGATATGTTTCTTTCGCTTCGGTTTCGAGACTAAACCTCCCTACTGTTTACTTGCATTTTGTTCTCAGTATTGAAAAAAAAGGGGGCTATACAAATAAAATGCGTGTTGCATGTTACTATAAGATTATATTTCTTACTGCATTGCCATATGGTATATTTTATATAAGCGATGCAATGTTATTGTAAGAGGATGATTAGAATTACTACGTCGAAGTTCATAGTAATAAATTAAATAAGATCTTGAAGACTTCGGATCATTCACATTAAAGGCGAAGTCATTATGTTTTCATTATTTCACGTGAGATAGTACGCAGATGCAGTTTTGAAAGTATGGGAGCAATAACAGTTTCTCAAATAATACAGTTGTAAGGTATTTTTCTGAAGCAATATATAATCTGATTTTAAAATTAAAGGTCCTTTCTTCGTTCTTTCCGCATGCCTTCGTGGTGTTATTGGAAGCATATTCGACAAGTATTCGAGAGGTCCAGGGTTCGAGTCTTGGCGAGGTCATTGCACATTTCTTACAATTATACAACATTGAAACATTTTAGCAACGTTATATTATTATCTTGAAACCACTTCTTCCACTCTCTTTCTAAAAATAAAACCTAATGACTCTATAAGTGGCGTTCGAACCCAAAGAGTGGTGGATGATAATTCATCGCCACCAGGATTTGACGCTTGGGTCCCCTAATCCCCAGTTGCCTTTTAAAAGAAGGAGTATATAAGTTATTTTCTCCCTTCTTCCAGCATGCTTTCTTGGACTAATTTGAAGCATACTCGACAGATTCAGGGTTCGTGTCCCGGCGAAGGACATTTTTCACGTCTCCTGCTTCAAAAAACCTAATGACTCAACAAACTTCTGAAAATTTGGGACGTAAAAATTAGGACACATATTGTGAATTATTTAATTTTATAATTTTAAAATGTATGACATATTTTTTATCTTTATATAAAACTAGTAAGATTTAGCGAAGAGGAAAAATTCTTTCAGTACAATGTATTGCTATGATAAATAGCGTGCTTTGTTTTCACTTAACATAGCAAATTTTAAAACTGTTTGATATTATAAGTCGCATAGTACTTACGTATTAACGCAACCATCTTTGAGCAATTTGGCGATTGTTTTACAGATGAAAAGATAAAAGCTACTTACCTAGTCTAAGCTGTCAGTTTTCGCAACAATTTTGTTCTTTAAAAGATTTCCAAATTATCGATATTTATCGTAAGTCCGCTAATATTATTAACATATGAAACGGAAACATATTTTAGCGATTTGAATTACAAGTTTTAATTATTAAATAAGGATTATATGATGCATTTGAAGGAAAAAAGCACATTCATCTCCAAAACTTTCTGTAATTTGTATTTGTCCGGGTCAATGACAAATAATGCCATAAAGGCGCATAATATATAACTATCGTGATCATATTACCCAGAAGGAAGATCAGTATGTGGACGGAAAGAGGAACATTAAAGGATAAGGTAAGGTTTCTTGATTGAAGGATTGTTTCACTGAGCATGGTTGCCACAGTTTGACATATTCAGAAAATTTGGTTACTAAGGTGGTTGAGCTAACACATTTATTCGGTATGCTTTTTTACATTTCTTCCAGTAAAAACGCAAACCTCTACATACATTTCTTATGATCTCTGAATAAAAAATTTCTGAATTTATTTCTTGTAGTAAAAATTTAAACCTGTATTAGCTTTATTTTTATATCCAGTATTCTATGCTGGATCCAAAATAGAATAATTTCATTTGGTATTTGCCATATTTATTTGCAAAAGTAATATTTTAAAAGGTTATTAAGTAATATAAGTATATTTCACTGAATAAAATTAATACAATCTACTGTGAAATTATTTAACGAAAAGATAAATTCAGAATTCATTAATAAAGAATTTTAAATTTTGTCATGTCTTTCAAATTTATTATTTCAAAATAATGTATTATTTTCTCAAAACGCGTTATTTACGTTGAATGAATTATTTTAAATTCCATCTCAATAACGAAGCAAGAACTTAAATTTAAAAAACGAATTCTAATTTTTTTTTATTAGATAAACATGATAATGAGTAACATGCGAAATATATTGAATTATTTCTTACCAAATCAAAAGCATATCATCGAATTAATAATAACGATACAAAAATGTTCGAAGGTTTGTAAGTTACTTACATTTATAATATTAATGGCTTAAAATTTAAATTATCCTCTAAATTTTTTCAAAAATTTTCTATTTAGACCCTTCAATTAGAATTTCCTTTCTGTCTAGACTCTTCAATTGTTATTTCAATTAGATCATATAAAAACTTCCATTATTAAAAATTTAGATTTTATTAGAAAAGCGAGTTAGAATATGTTTATGTTTAAACAATTTAGCAAACTATGTTCTGAATGTTTTCTATTAAGAATAACCTTAAAAGCAATAACTTCATAAAGCTTTCCTCTAGCAATAAAACTTTGTTTAGTATACAATTTATATCTTTAAAATGCTGCCATTTTTAAATAATAGAGGATAAACAGAATCAGTTCTCTTTTAGATAATTTATGAATATATACTGTGAATTTTCATAGAAAGAATCTTTAAAAATATAAATTAAGCAAGGAAAGCTTACTCAAGTAATGAATGTTTAATTTAGTATATTTTTTTTATTAAATAAAGTGGCCAGATATTCCGGATGGTGTGGTACAATCTCAATTTTGAGAATAATACCGTCTCGTAATTCCCATATTCTATAAAACAGTCAACATGAATTTTATTTCTGTCTTTCTATGAAGATATATTTGTCAGAAATAATAAAATAATCATAAGTTCATCAGAATCAGAAATAAGAAGATAATCATTTTCAGGAAATTCATGTGGATAGTAAAAGAACATCTCCTGGAAGGATTTCTGTTTATAAGAAGAAACGGCGAAACAAAACCATCAACGGATCTTTAAACAGAATTTTTATCCTATACAACTGCATTTTCTAAATTTTGTAGAACAAGCGTAACTTTTCCATATTCGGATGAAGACATTATCTCGTATTTAGAAATGCATGCAAGTATACAATATCAAATACAGTATTTAGAAATGTATGTAACAGAAGTTAAATCAAATAATTATCCAATTATAAAACTGATAGAGTGTGAGAATCTGGCATTTTCAGAACGAATAGCAGGAACACTGTTCCCCAGAAGTGTATTGCACAATATAACTATGATTACTGGAGATAAATGCAGCAACAAAACATGTATTTCGGTATTAACTGTAATGAAACTTCTCATACCTACCGCCTCTACAAGTAACCGGCATTTGTGAGAAGATAAGTACCACTCGATAGTCATACTCTCGCAGGCAACTATTTTCACGGAACTACTGGTAGCAGGTTTTTCCAGATTTCACTATAATATGAGGACAGTTGAAAAATTCAATGTTAGCTGTGTAAAATAATCTTACTATGCATTCAAATAAATCAACAGCTATATTATAGAGGGAGAGAAAGGTGTGCAAAAGTTCTCTCTCTTTGATCGGGTTTGGAAAATCACGTCACTTTGTTCTTAATAAATTAAAAAGCAGACTAAATATACTTATTTTCTTATTTTCAAGTAAGTATGAGAATATATTTTGAATAAATAAATAAAAACTTATTTATAGGCCTTTAAAAATGTAAATTAGCCTTTTCAAGTAATGAAGGTTTGAGTATATGAAACTGACTATGTTAAATCTCTTATTTTAAAATAAATAGCATTAAAAAATCTTAGGTGTCTGCGTTTTAAATTTAACAAAAATCACTTTCAGGAAAGCATTATTAAAAAAAAGCGCATTCTTTCGGTTTCTTTTAAAGTAACAAAACTATAAATTCCCAGAACTTGCTTTCCAAATTCTATTTTCCTTCGAATTCTGGAATATCGTTGCATTTATTTCTAATCGAAATTTACGTGAGGAGGAAAGAAAAGCCACTTTCTGCTATTTTCTTTCTCCGCAAATCTTCGCGAATTATTACGTCACTACTTACTAATTTCTTTGAAATTTACGGATTACCTTTCCCGATACAATTTACACGACGCCTCATAATGCATGATATAAAAGTAAACAACAGTTTCAAGAAAAGTGATTTTGGGTGAAAAAACGTGCCATTCCGCAAGAGTAGCAACTGATTTCCTGAATGTTCGCTCAGGATGTTAGTAAACTAATAAGCAAGAAAGTACAAAGAACTCTTCATTTTGTGTTCTAGTACGGAGATGATGCACAACAAACATCCTGTGACGTGCAATTAACACGAATCGCAAAGTCATTCCGGCCTACTTAATAAAAAGCGTTATAGCTGAAATTTGCGTTTCAATCTCTGAGCCAGGATATTAAGCAGCAAGTATGAAGGCTACTTTGTCATTGCTTTTTGTTCTGTCTTTAAGTGGTAAGTACGTTTTATTCGCTTATTTTAAGTACAATTTTTATAATTTTATTAATTCATTTTCTAAGCTCTTGACTGGTATTTACCTTTAATTAATAATATAAACAGAATTATAATTATGTTAATGCAAAAATATGCTTTATAACTACAGAATTTAAATATCAAATACCAGCATTAATCTGCCTGTATTCGAAATTTAATATTAATGCCCTACTCAGCCTTTCTAAAATCATAAAGGTTTGAGAATATTTTTATCCTGAATTAATAAACTTTTTGTCTTGCGTTATACTGAAAATAGAATCCTAATTATTCGGGATAATGGGAACTATTTTTTTCTAGAAAAGCTACAATTTAAACAAAATGGAAAGCCGCTGCCACTTTTAAATAAAAATTGGATAAAAATATGCCCTCCAACAATATAAAGTCTTAAAACCATTAACAAAGAGAAAAAATTGCATTATATGTACTTTCATATTGAATTTGTTTCATGCTTAATCATTAGTTTACTAATGCAGTTACCAAAATTACTGGTTAGAACATCAGGACAGGCTTAAGCAGACTTTTCGATCAAACAGCCAAATTCGAGGTTTGGGGAAGGGGGGATCTGAAAGTTTTCAGATTTTAACGGTTGCCCAAAAGGGTTTGTTAAGATTTTCACCCTCGCATTGAGCTTGCAGTCTACCATTCTGCTGTTACACTTACTCCTGCTAACCCATTTTGTTTGTCGCTTTAGCGTTATTATTAAGCATCATTTTCTTCGCATCTATGCCATGCACCAACAGCAAAATTGCAAACATTTTAAAAGCAGCCTAGCAGCATACGTTTAGATTTCCCGATGTAGCATTAAAGTATTGGCATATATTTTTCGCTTTTTCTCAGTCTTTTATCAGTTCGCCATATGAATGTTCAGGTTTCTTACTAACATGGCTTTACAAAACTTTTTTTTTTTTTGTCTTTTTATTATTAACGTTTTGTTTGTTTACTTTATTTATTAAATATTACGTTCTTGACGCTTACGCCCCATAAAATTCGATTTAACAGCAAAATCACAAAATATTTAAATACAGCTATTTTTAGAATTTTCGATAGACAGTCTCGCGCACTGGATATAAAAATGTTTTTTCTGCATAGCGTTGTCGCTGCCAGCTTTGAAATCGTTCATTTTGCCAATCAAAAATCCGTTAAAGTTTTACAAAATATGTAATAGTAACACAAATTCGAAATTAGGGCTTCCAGGTGCCCATGTTCGGGTGGAGGACTATGTTATTTAAAATTAGATGCCTCTAGGTACTGTTTTTTTTCACAATGCGAGAAAAATACATATATTCATGAAGATTCTTCATTATTTAATTTCTTTAAGTATAATACAAAGCGCCTATATCTGGTGGCCGCAATTTGAAAAGTGTGATTAAATTCAAAATGCTGTTTCGATACTAATATCCCATTCGAGACTAACGTCCCTTTTTCGGCTACAAAAAAAAAAAAAAAAAAAAAAAAAAAGGGGGGGGAGCATTAAAATAAAATAGTACAGGTTGTAATTATCAGGAAAATTTAATTCTAAAATAAAAATTAATATGTTTCTAACAGCCAACGGTTTTTTAATAAGGTGAATAACAATACTTAACAATTTCACTTCGCAATTTTTTTAAACGCTGATTTTGTAGCAGAGCTACTTAAAACTTCTGTTAAGTTTCTCTTAAGTTCCCTTACTTAAGTTTCTGCTGTTCGTCTGATGTTAGAATTTAAGCCTACAGAGATCACTTGATGACATATAAGCAAAGGCTTTTTCGAGGCTACATGCTTGCTTCAAATAAGATAATCTATATTAATGGTGACCAAATTTCATGTCAACAGATGAATGTTTCTGTCATGTTCCTGAAAACTAGAATTCAGAAATATTTAAGAGCCGTAGCCAGATATTTATAACACTTTTATTCTGAAAACAGTAGTTTGCGGATAGAAAGAAACATTTCAGTAAATAAGTCTGGCTCACATTTTAAAATTGAATGGTTATTTACAAATGTAAACGATTTAATTCTTGTTGCTTTAGCTCTTAAAGAAATTACGTTTCTAAGATGGACAAGTTTTAAACTTTTCTAAATTTTTTCCAGGAAGGAAATAAGAATTTTCTTATGGTTAATATATTTTTTATTATAATTTTCAATTAATTATGAATAAACCGAATTCGTAGGATGGCAGAGAGATTTTTATAATAAAATAAAAAAAAGCTTTTAATTCGTATGAATTCCGTAATACTTGAAAAATTGAATATATATTTTTTCTTTGTGTGTGTGTGTGTGTGTTTGAGATGAAAAGGCGCTCCCCGAGAAAGACTAAAATCACAACTCCTACTAGACAGCCGCGCTGTCGATTAAGGTATAAAAATTTTTTTGAAATAAATTATCCGCTTATTAAAGTTCCCAGACAAAAGTAACGTTTCTATTTTCGCATACAACCAACTTTTATAATTATATTTTGTCTTAAATCGTTACCTGAATCATTATTTTGGAAACATAACCTGGATCATGGGACGGGCTTTGTTTGCCATCAGTACAAACTGCAATCGTAGTGGTCTTCCATAAGATTCGAAGTACTATAACCCGTTGCCGATGTATATGTCCTTTCAACTCCCTTGATAGCCACTACCCGTTTTAAAACAGCATTATTACTTCAATACATCTCCAAAACAGAATTTTTCATCCTTTGTTTATTATTTTGACAAGAAGCACATACCGGGAGTTTGAAATTATTATGAAATAATTACTCGCGTACATATAAAGTAATTTAAGAAATTGTTGATTGTTAAAAGTATGCGTGCTCAACGAAGAATTATGCGAAATGCCCAGCTGCGGTGAAACTGGCTGTAACGGTAATCAAGCTATAACGTGAAGACAGCTTCACAGCAAAGCACTAAAGTACAGCTTCCGACTCGTCGATCGTTTTCGAGCTAATCTCTGAACTCAAATCATTGCTACTGAACTCAACATACTACAGATACTACTCAAGATACTCTACTCTGCGTTCAGGCAGGGTATATATAGCTTTTGACCTGCCTTCGAGAACATTCTCGAAAAACCGGTAAGAATTCGTTCTAGAATGTACTCGCTCTGTCTATGGCATATCGCCAAGTCTGTCATCAAATGGTGCCAAATGGGCGATTTCATGCCAAATCTGACAACACTGCCTTTCCTTGCCACTTTATAGCAACCTTTTGCGGGGAAGCAGTTACACATCTTACGGCAGCTGGGATTTTGCAACAATATTCTTCAAACTGTAATTATAGTATTTCTGAAATACAATTACTGCTTGGTGCAACGTGAAATGCATTTGCCAGCCAAAGAGCAATAAATGGCTCATTGTAGTCCGTCTGCAGTAAGTTAGCATATGATCTTGGAGCCGTTCATTTTTTAAGTGTGGACTACCATGTTGTAATGCTAAAAGCAAATGATGCTTGGCCACCGTAATTTTCTCCAAACGATTCTTTTGGTTACAACTAATATATTTACTAATAATTATAACTTTTATCATGAATTTCAAATTAATTTCTAATCCCCCCCCCAAAAAAAAAAGAAATAGGCTAACAGTCCTAAATCAGGAGCCTCTATGGTTCTGTTACCACAGAAACATTACCTCTCAGTATATTTGAAGAATCGAATCGTCTGAAACCACCAGACGTCGCTTTTCAAAGTTAAACCAAAGAATATTCTTTGGCCGAACAATAACCGCCATATGGCCATATGTTTCTACGAAATTATGCCTTGATTTAGAGAAAATTAGAAGTTATAAAATATTTCCTAAGCTGATAAATTCATATTTATTGACGTAAAAAGTTTAAAGAATACAAATTATTTTCAAAAATTACGATTACTGCTCGAAAGACGTACAAAATGCGCGGCAAGCCATAGTTTTCGGAGGCCTGGATTAGAAGATTAGCGTGAATATCTGCTATAATTTATATTTAAAATAAAAGAAATATTTTTCAGTTTCTGTCTGATGAATCAATAATATGAATTAAATCTTTGACAGTTCGTTTAGCTGTAACCCTGTAAGAAAGCAAAGAAATAAGTTTATTCTTAAATTAATCATTATTTAGGCAGCATTCTTAAATTTCTTACACTTTTAATCCATTGTCAGTAGTAAAGCAGTCATTCATCTAGTCATAAAATGGTATTATGGACCGTATTTATGAATGCGTACTGCACTGTAAATATATTGCTAAATTTAAATGCGATAAATAGTATTTCAGATTATGTATTTGAGTACCAATTAAGTGCATAATGAACTCGATTAAATTAAAAGATGTATTTACTTTGTTAAAAGAATAAGCAAGAAAAAAGTAAAATGTTGCGAAGAAAGAACTCTTCCATCAGTATCACGCAAAATTATTTTGTTATTGAGCTTGCTTTCATAATTACTTCGCGTACTTTACCTAATCCTTGACTAAAGTAATTTTTAAACCTTCTGTAGAGGTATATCTGCAAAAGTTACAACTATACTATATATACTAAATTTATTAAGATTAAAAAATGATACAGTTATTTACAAATATTTTTGGAACACGCATCGCGTGTTAAACTTAAAAGCTGGATGAAAATTTGTTATTGACTTGAGTAATTGACTCTACATCTAAACTGTTGTACGTAAAAAAATGTAAAATGCCTAAATTTTAAAAACGCAAATTAATAACTGTTTAGAGGTTATGTCTAATATTATGCGTGCTGTTAAATAACGCATATTCTTAATATTGGGTATCTCTCGTTATACTCTTAAGGTTTCGGAATGCATTCACAGAAATCATGTTCCTGAAATATCCTTTAAAGCTTTCTATTTTTTCCAAATTTCTAAAAGTGTTTAAAAATGAGCGTCTTTTAAAGTCAAATCTAATATTTACACTGAAAAAAGAAATACTTTTTTTGTACTAGTGTTAGCTTCTTTCTTTAGTGGATTATGGTAAAGAACCCAATAACTATCTATCTAAGGGAATGTGTAGCTTTTAAAGGAAAAATGCCCGTATTCACATTACACCTATGGGTATAACCATGAAACCACCCCTATATCAATTCGCCACCGCCTTCTGCACGAATGAAAAGCAGGATCGAGCTTCAAACATTGTTGAAAAGGCTGGCTGCATGGAAGTTTCATGGTTTTACCCATGTTTACGTGAATATTAGCCAGTTTCTCTTAAAATGTCTCTATGAAAGTGTCCTTTTAGGTATCCGTCGCGTACTTTGCTATGATCTAAATAATCTAATTCAATCCATTGAATAAAAGTTAAACTATCTTTACTCAGTGGACTTTTCTATTAGGCCCAGCGTTAGCCGTGTTTGCATTTAACTATTTTAGGATACGGGCATTATGCAAAGAAAAGCTCATTCAGTTTTTTATTGCATACCAGCAGGTATCGAGTGCATTAAACTGTGCAAAAATTTCATTTAAGCAGAAATTTTAAAGGAAAAAAATTGATATACGTTAATAACTATTGCCACTACTTTTTATATCTGTATTTTCATGGAAATTAGTTTTAAAGTTTCAATGTAATTACAGACTTCACAAAACATGGTCTGAAAATTTTTATGCTAAATGGTGCATAATATTTATATCCTTTATTAGGAATTGTGTCATGTTATTGGGCAAGAAGAAATGAACCTAGTAGACTGCGGCAACAGGATGAACCTTCAGGAGGTAAAAATGAAGCAATACGTTGCTTTACAGAAATGCAGACAAACGGTCAAATCACAAACTTGTTGCTGGATGTCACCACACCTGAAAAAATCGATACCTTTTGCAGGTAAGCAAACTTTAAAAACAAAGGAAACATTTCTTTAAATTTATTAATTAATTAAAATTTTTTCTCTCATTTAGAAAAAAATTAATCACATTCTGCATGAAAATAACATTTTAATCGTTTTCCTTTGAATCAGTGCATCGTTTTGTAGTGAAATACAAAGTGCCTATAACTACAGGTGAAAAACTGAAAAAGTTGAAGAAATTGCAAAATTATCAAAAAGTCTTTTAAGAAGAAATTTTAATGCTTCTGTTACTTCGTTCAAAATCTAACTTCCTGCATGAAAACTAGTCTCCATCCTCTTTAAAAATAATTAGTTATCTTCTGCATTTATTGATCCATCACAGCATTTACCAGGGACTGGAATGACGCCTAAAACTACTTTAAACGAAATATGTTAGTAATCACTGAAAATTTGACCTGAATATTGAATAATGTGAAGCCTGATTGCCTAATTGACTCCAAACCTTTTTAATCGGGCTCCGCGTTTACGAAGCAGCGACCTTTTAATTTGAATTTAAAGCTAAAAAAATTGTAGAAAGAGTCATGGAATCCAAAATCTGGTAATTTTGAAAAATAAAGGACAAATGCTGCTTTTGTGCCTTCTGTAAAATAATGTTTTCTTGCTTAGTCATTTTGAAGCAAACGGTTCTATTCCTCCACAGATGGGATCTTATGATGTTAACTTGCTTTCTTAAACATCATCACAGTAAAACGCCGTACTGACTATGTATTAATTTTTATAAATCTATTTGAATAATTGTATTATCTAATTAGAAGTAATTCTCGAAGTATCTTTATCTATGAAAATGGTGGTGCTCGCAGAAGGTAGTGCTGAATCTCAGAGACCGTTAGGTATATTTTAATTGGGAGACCTTTTACGATTTCTTCAGTGACTAAGTTCTTGGAAAACGAAGGTATAATACCGACAAATATTCAAGAACACATGGTTTCAGTCTATGGTGATATGCAACGTCTTGCATCACCATCGAATAGTGGGCTGCTCTATTTAGCCAGCGGAGAACATTACTCGAAAATGAACCCAGGCCGCATTATAGTGTTGAGACCACTGAAGAAATAGGTGATAAAGTCGAAGACTATTTATGAAAACTAAACTATATGAGCAATTGCTTATAAGACTCATATAGAAGTAGGTGGATCAGTGAGAAAAAAGGTCATGTATAAAAACCTATGGAGGACGAGGATCTTCGCCAGATGGATACGCAGAGTGCTGACACCAAGCATGAAGAAACATGGCGCTGAATATTCTCAACAGCCGCTCTTCAAGACAAATGCCAGTAAACCAATTACCCTCGGCTAGTGACAAGAGATGAAACATTACTTCACCGCTATGGCTCAAAAATGAAACAAGAATACAGGATATGGAAACACTGCTATCACCATACCTCAAAAATTCAGAAACCCGAATTCTGCCGGAAGATTTTGCTGGAGCACCATTTTTTGGATGAAGAGAGACCACTGCTTTTTGACTACATGTCACATAAGACGACAAAAATATCGGTGCTTGCTAGGCGTTCAAACCGACCCTCTTTCCAAACCTGTTATTATTCAAACCTGTTGACGCAACTTCGACAAGTCATAAAATGGCATAACACACACAAAAGCGTTGCCTTTGTACGTAATCATTCCAGCATACAAGTTTTTCAGACTTAATTGAGCAATTCAGGTGTCAGCTTCTTCCTTATCCACCGTATTCACCCGATCTAGCCCCGATTTATTTCTCTTTCTTTCAGAAATTCAATCAGCATTTGTGCAATTCACATTATAAGGAAAACAAAACTTGAAATACCTTTGGGGACCGCGTAAGATTGCTTTGGGGAGGTTAGTTTGAGACATTGGAGTAGACGACTGTCGTAGTCGCATCAAACTGCCACAAATATAAATTTTTCTCAGATGTTTATTTGCTCCAGCTTTTCTCGAAAGTTTTATTCCGAAAAGGTCTCTGAAATAGTTCTCTGATCGCATTTCGAACAACTGCCTAAAAGTCCTATGCTTAAAAAACTATGCTTTATGAGCCTCATCCATTGTAAATTGTCGGCTATTTGAAGAATAGAATGTTTTCTGTTGCTTTATTTATGCTCTACAACATCTAAGCCTATACTTTGAATAGAAATATCAAATAAACCTAATACAGAACAAGACAAAAATCAACAGCAGTAGTTGTTTTAATAATGGTGAAATATGAATTATTTCCGTATCGAAGATCAAAGGAATAACTTGTTTATATGCGGGCGCGATAAGACTTCGCAGCTGAAAAGAACTTCTCGATCAGCACAGCGCTGGACGTTTCACTTTCATTACTTCAATTCCCGTTGCTGTTTCCTGTTTGAGGTATCAGTCTATGCTTTCCATACTTCCTTCTGTGTTACAAAGGACATATTATTCATTTGAGTAAACGAATAATTCGCTCATTTTGAATCCGAGTCGTACGAGCAATGAGTCATTTAAAAGCACCAAAGGATTAAATCCTGACTAACTACTCGTCTCCAAGAGAGAATTAACCTACGTAGACGAATGCTGTAACAAAACAACTCAAAAAATTTGCTACATGAAATTGCAGAATTTAAGATAATCTTATCTACTAAGTCACAAAAACTGGCATTCTGCGACTGAGTGCTTAGTACACAGAATTAGAAATTATTAATACTGACTACTCTAATATAAAACAAATGCCAAAGAAATTCTGTTTATAAGTCAAAGCAAACAGTTGTATAATTAAAAACGAAATGCAGATAAAAATTATTAAGAAATACGCGTATTACTTTAAATTAACTCAGTTTAAAATACATATTACACTTTTAGTAAATCCAATGCAAAGGCTTTTTTAATGCCTTCATATATGATAATTTATTTCTCCTCCAAAAGATGAAGAGATTTGTTCTAAAAATTTAATATGCTAACAAAAATTGTATATACGATGTGTTTTAAAAGGAAGAAGAAAATTTTAGAATTTTACTTCTTTGCTTACTTGTTGTTCATAGCAATATGAAAAGGGGTCGGTCGTACATTACTCAATAGATAAAGGAAAAATGTTTGCCATATTATCATTCCATACATGCACTTTCCACACATAGACGTATATCAAGGCGATAATTTACAGTTTCGAGTCAAGTTTCTTTTAGCTGCTCTATAGATACGGAATGCTTTACTGTAAATAATTTTTGTCGAAGTTATTGTAGCGTGGTAAAGGTGACGTCCAAATAGTAGACACAATTTAGTAGAGATGACACATTTTAAAAATTTCCATTCCCCCACCTCAAAAAATATTCGAAATGGTTTAGGTTTATAGAACAGGAAATCCAATAATTTGGTCATTTTATTTACGTATATAAATCCAGTGATTAGAAAAAATTATGCCAAGACATCATACTGAAGTCAACTGCAACCGGGTACATAATAATTTTTCTTTTTCAGATAATGAACAATAAACTTTTGCATTATCAGAGACAGATATTTTATGAGAAAATTGAATCTGCTCCTTGTTTTTATAACACTATTCTTTTTAATTTATAATGTTTGCAATATTTGTTGAAAATGACTATATTAAATTTTTTTGTGTTTTGTTTTTCTCAATGTCAATTTAGTTTATGGTATTTTTATTTGAATCGTTTTAGACACATGTCTGGGTTAACGAAGTGTATATCCGACAATGAGCATTATTTGACAGTTGCAGAGAATGCTGATTATTTGAAGAAAACACGTGGAGTAAAAGATTTTTACATCAATGTCTGTCCACCCGGGACTGATATAACAGAAAGTAAGTTTCAGTTTCTTGTTAATTTTCATCCACTTAAATTATATAATTTATTTATTTTAATTCATTAATATGCTAAATAAAACTTATTTAGGAATTACTGAATTAGTACTTAAAATATTGGTGCAGTAAAGAACATTTATGATACACTGACTCAAACTGAAAAATTATTTCTCTATTATTAAATTTCTATTATTAAAATTATATTAAATTACTTTTCTCAATTATCATTCAGGTAAAATTATACACACACACACATATATATATATATACACTGGTGTGCAAAAATTAAGGACGAGACGGTTTTTTCAATATAACTTTATACAAAAGCTTTCCAAATCAACACATTTAATACCGTAAGATCCCCAATACGTAAGGACATGAGTAATGTAAGCAACACTTACTAAAAGAGAAATCAGAGGGATAAAAAGAAGCTTTATTGAAAATGTAGCATGGAGCGCAATGCGACTGAAGGCCGAAACATCCCTGTGATGGGTGTCCAGCAAGAAATATCCGGTCTTTAATAGGAGATATGATCTCCCCTGACTGCTAGGCAGGTTTCACAGCGTCTGCCCATGCTGAGAATGAGGGTGTCAATGAGTTGTTGAGGCATTGCTGCCCATTTGTCTTGCAGCGCCAATCGAAGCTCCGGAATCGTTACTGGTGGTAAGGTACGAGCTGCCAGGCATCTGCCTAGAAAATCCCATACATGCTCGATGGGATTGAGATCCGGAGATCGTGCCGGCCAATCCATACGTTCAATATCCTCACCCTCTAAGAGCTGTTCGGCAGCTACTGTGCGATGACATGGTGCATTGTCGTCCATGAAAAGGAACTGCGGACCCATAGCGCCTCTAAAAAGACGCACATGTGGAAGAAGAATCTCGTTACAATAACGGGTCCCGTTGACTGAACTTGCGTCGAAGATGTGAAGGTTTGTACGACTACCAAGCATCATGCCTCCCCAAACGAGAACACCGCCACCTCCATACCTGTGCCTTTCAATGATATTCGAGGGATGATTGCGGCTTCCCCGCTCTCTCCAGATAAGTATGCGATGAGAATCGCTACTCAGACTGAATCTGCTCTCATCTGTAAAGAGTACTCGTCCCCATTCATTGTCTCTCCAATTCCGGTGTTCCCGGCACCACAGAGAACGCCTTCTTTGATGGGCAGGCGTTAGAGGTACACACCGTACAAAGCGTCGTGCAAACAGACCACCACCGTGCAGTCTTCTGGCCACGGTAAAACACGATATCGGTCGTCCAGTCGCCTGTGTCGTGTGTCTAGCGATTTCTCCCGCTGTCTGCCGCCTGTTTCTTCAGGCCTGTAAGGCAATATACCAGTCATCTGCGGGTGTGGTTCCTCGTGGACGACTACTACTAAACCCCCGGATAGCTGTTCCTGTAGTTTGAAATTGTCTCCAAAGTCGTAAAACGATGCTGTGAGCAATTCCGAACTCTGCAGCCACACTTGTCACCTCCCTCCAACTTTCCAATGATTCGACCTCGGGTAAAAGCATCCAGATGTCGTCTAACAGATTAATTATTCGCCATTTCTCGCTGAGGCAGCTATACGGCGTGCAATCTCTTTGCCAGAAATACTGATCTTACACTGACAGCATGCTTTATACTACTCAGACACTCCCCCATTACGTCTACCTGCATATCTGCGCATGTGCTACCGTACATCACCTTACTTAATCTCCTGATTGGTCTTTCTGTCCGTTCTGCCTCTTCGTTCAGCTGATATGCTAATTTTTCGACTTCGTCCTTAATTTTTGCACACCAGTGTATATGAATGTAACACACAATTACAATAAACAGTAGTACGTATAATAAAAATTCCATTTGAACTTCTGTCCGTAAACCATGCGATATTTTCACGAAAGCAAGTTAAAATGTGTGAGGAATCATTGCCAGATTTCTATCCCAGTCAGTAATTTGTTGAAAAAGATCCACCTTCCTACCTTGAAATTAAAATACCCACTTGTTATAGGATAAGCATTTGGTATCCCGGCTTAGTAATTGTTAATTTTTTGTATTTAAACCCGCATTTCTAAGTTTTCATCATTTTACTAAATGCATAAGTAAAAAATAAATGTATCAGCGCAATCAGCCTGTTTGCTTTTAATAAAAATCCAAATTCGCATTAATTTCAGACAGAGGTCCCCAAAGACCGCTCAAAAATTATTTTGAATATTTTGATTATAATTCTGTTTTTGCAAATGAATGCTTCAGAGGTTATCTATTACCAATTTAATTGACTACTTCATATTAAACTACTCTACACACTTTTAACGTACAGATTAAAAACAAGAGTAAATTTTAATTTGGTGTGTTTATTATTCTTTTATGATTCTAGAGAAAAGCATATGCAGGAATACTATATCTGAAAAAGAGAGCGTGGTTTTTTCTTAAAAATTAGAGTTTCTATGTTTGAGCAATTTGAATTTTTACAAGTTATTTGAAATAAATTAGTTTAAATAATAAAGTTCGTTAATAATCATAATATTGTACTCACTGAAATTTATCTTGAGCATAATGCAAATGAACTCTGGACTAAATATTTCACATTGTTCTTCCTTTGTTTAGAAATCATTGTGCTTTTGGTTGCTATGGAAACAGACTTTAACACACACAAAAGAAAGAAAAGCGATAACAAATGCCTCTAAAACAAACAAAATGCAATTAGGATAGGCAAATAACATACTGAAGCAGAATGAAGTGGTACTTAAGAATTCCACCTTAGGACGATATAATCTCACAACATATAAATAAAAACTAGTTAAAACCTTTAGTTTGGATAATTTTAAAATAATATTGAAAACTATTTGCAAAATGAATTAAAAATACCTCTGAAAAAAATCTGGAAGCTTTCAGATTTTACATTACGCCCAAAGGGTCGTTTCTTGAACGTTTTGTGTGTTACCTTTATTTATTTAATGTCATGTTCTTTGCACTAAACCATAAAATTAATTCAATTCAACAGCAATATCGCAAAATAATTTTAAAATGAGCAAAGCTTTAGAATTTCCGATTAGTGGTTATCCCGGGTTTCGGCCCCATTTTGTTTTAATGTTTCTAATTTGTATTTTCTTATCTTAACATCTAACAATATTTGACACGAAAACCTTTTTGCTTACCTTTCCTTGAAGAAATCCACAGATACTTGAAATTTGACATTTTATTAATGACTTTGCCATTTTATTACACATAAAATTTTATTCACTGCTATTTACAATTCATTTGCTTACAGAAGAACATTCATCATTTTTTCTATTGTTGCCATGGTAAGGTACGAACTGCGCAAAATTTGATCAAAGATCCCCTTCCCCTATAATAATATTTTGTGCATCTCCAAATCAGATAATGGTGGTTCAGTGAGTTCACTAATTTTAACACTTTTACATTTTTAACAATATTTTAATTACTATATACAAAGCGTATTCTTAGGCCGCCGCCTTCGACATGAACAAACTTTATTCTCTTACAACTAAGCGAGCAACAGCGCCCTCTAGCCTTTTTCTTCAAATTACACAACACTCCCCACCTGAACTCGGTGGAGAGTTCATCTTTCAATAATATATCTAGAATATTCAATTAATATTTCGACAATAAATCCTGGAGAAATGGTTAAAATATAACAAACATGCATACATAATTATAAGCACAAAAAATTTTACAAAACATTAAATGATACCTATCAGCAAGGTCAGGAGAATCAAACCTAAAAATACAAAATACAAACATTAGTTAAGTTCCATATTATATAACAATTGTATAGGCCTTTTTAAGGTACCAGTAGGTGTTTTAATTATGCAAGATCTTATTTTACCATCTCTGCCTGGCATTAATTCCAAAATTTTACCTATTGTCCAGAGATTTCTGGGATGTTTGTCGTCATGAATCAAGACAATATCGTTGATTTTAAACTGAGATGCGTTAGAGTGTGGAGGACAAATATTGGCAGATCTCAGATTAAAAAGATACTCTGATCTCCAACGCTTCCAAAAATGATTTAAAATATCTTGATGGTATTTATATCGTTTAATAATTGAATTTCTTGATCCAATCAAATTATTTGATGTTATTTTATTAGCAGGCAGAGATAGCAATCGTCTACCAACCAGAAAAATGAGAGGGTGTTAGTGGAGAAGGTTCATTGGGATCGGTAAACACGTAGGTAATTGGTCTACAATTAATCATTGCCTCGATTTCAATGAGCACTGTTTCAAGCTCTTTCACAGTAAGGGATGATCGACCAATAATTTTTCGCGTAAGCTGGATTTTATGGTTCGTACCATACGCTCCCAAAACCCTCCCCACCATGGACCCCTCTCAATAATAAATTTCCAATTTATGCCTCTAGCAGAAAATAATTCTTTCACAGATGAGTCACTCAAAGTTTTAAAAATATGTTTTAGTTCTTTATCAGCTCTTTTAAAAGTCTTGGCATTATCGGAGTACACGGTGGTACACAGTCCTCGGCGAGCTAAAAATCTTCGGAAAGCTAGCAAAAAACTTTCAGTGCTGAGATCAGTTACTATCTCTATATGTAAGGCACGAGTGACCGCACACGTTAACAACAGCATGTAAACTTTACCTTGCCTGTCTTTCGTAAAAAAATGGACCGGCGAAGTCCAACCCGGTCACAGCAAATGGAGGCGACTCTTGGATTCTGTCTGGAGGAAGTGGAGCGATATCCTGTACCCCAGGACGAGCACTATATCGTTTGCATATCACACATTTGCTGATGATAGTCTTAACACGCTGTCTTCCCTTAATGATCCAATATTTGTCTCTGATCTGAGTTAGTGTCGAATTAACTCCAGCATGGAATACCCTTTCATGCGAGTCCATGATGATCAACTCGGTGGTAAACTTGCATTTTGAGGGTAATAGAATAGGATGTTTTAAATTCTCGTGACAGTCTGCAAATTGAATGCGACCTTTCAACCGAAGAATTCCCTCCTCATCAAGCCTTGGATTAAGGGAGTAGATGGAAGAATCGAGAATTGATTTTTTATTTGATAACTTAATTATTTCCGCTTGATACGATTCTCGTTGCGTAATTTTTACCCAATAATGTTCAGCTGCTTTAATCTCAAAAGCACTTAAAGGTCCATTCCTCTGTAGACCTTTTCCGAAGCCTCCCAATAAATCTAAATACATAGGCAGTAATTCGAAGTAATTTTCCTAAAGAACTGAATTTTTCTATATGCAAAATTGGGGATTCATTGTTAATTACAGGTGCAGTCAAAATAATACTTTTTTAACTCCAACGATTCTGAATTTGGTTTTAATTTCTTTTGTTTTGGAAAGTTTTCAGTAGGAAAACGTAACCAGTGTGGCCCATGCCACCACAGATCATTCTTAACTAGTGACTGAGCACTAATTCCTCGAGTTAGTAAATCGGAAGGATTTTGTTTTCCTTCGCAGTGGTTCCACAATTTTTGTTACATATACTCTGTATTTCTGTAACACGATTGGCGATAAATGGTTTCCAATTATTTGGCGAACCTTTAATCCAAGTAATGGCGATTTCGGAATCACTCCAAAAATAAACATCCTCAATTAAATCACCAAACAATTTTTTCAAATATTTATACATTCGAGCAGCCACGAGTGCTCCCATTAACTCTAAACGAGGAAGCGTGATTGCTCTTAAAGGTGCAACTCTGCATTTCGACATGATAAAGGAAGTTTTAATTTTAGAATCACTCGTACAATATCTGAAATATGCGATGGCCCCATATGCTTTAGGACTAGCGTCCGAAAATAGGTGAAGGCTTATATTCATTGGATCGTCATCAAAGAAATTTCGCTGTATCGATATTTCAGTTAAATCATTAAGTTCCTCCCGCCAAATGTTGAATTTGTCCTTAATCTCTGCAGGAAGGACCTCATCCCAGTCAGAACCGGAACACCAGATTTCTTGCATAATAATTTTCGCCCGAATAACAAAGGGTGCAATAAATCCAAATGGATCGTATATTTGGGCGATGCTTTGCAAAAGTTTCCTTTTTGTAGCAAAATCGTTTCCAGTAGAAAAGTCAATTAAATTTTTTAAATTTAACTTTATATCGTCTTCAATGGAATTCCAAATCATGCCTAAGAAATTCGATTCACTAGTTAATTTGTTGTCTGATTCCTTAATCCCATCTGAGACCCATAAATCGTTTAATGCTTTAGAATTAGTTCTTAATTTTCTGAAATTCATCCCAGCATCCTTAAATATGTTAACCGCATCTACAGATAACCGATATGCATCTTCAACCGTTCCTGCTCCAAAATATAGGTCATCGACATAGACAGAAGAATTTAACATTTGGAAACTGTCCTGCATTTTATCTTTATATTTTCGAATGTGATATTTTATAGTGGCGGCCAAAATGAAAGGAGATATAGTCAAACCGAAAGCTACGCGACACATTTGCATAATCTTAAAGGAGTCATTATTTTCATTAAACCAAAGAAATTTTAGAAATTTTCTATCACCTTCAGCAATTCCTATCATCAAAAAGGCTTTTTTCAACGTCTCCACAAAACGCTATCTTAAACTTACGAAAATTTAACATAATGTCTAGTATATTTGGATTTAGATTAGGTCCCGATTCAAGGCAGTCATTTAACGAATTCGTGTCCTCTGTCCTTGAGCTATCGTACACAATTCTTACCTTAGTAGTTTCACTAGGTCGTATCACTGCTCGGTGAGGCATAAAATATCCCAAATTTGTATCATTATTGGACATTCCTCCACAATTCCTTCTAATATCTGGTTCTCAATTATATTTTATATTCCTGAAAAATCTCCGGAGTTTTACTTAGTTTATTGTGAAGGTTTGCGAATCGTTTCTTAGCTACCTCAAAATTATTTCCTAGATTATTCGGACTGTATTTCCAGATTAAATTTGCCTCATATCTTCCGTTTTTAAACTGCAAATTTCTTTCAAACTGGTCTACTATTTCGCAGTCAATATCGGAATAATCATCAGAATCATTAATTCCCATATGTTCTAATTCCCAAAAACCTCTTAAATCTTTCAACACAACAGTGTTTGTCATTACCGCTAAATTTTCAGAACAATTTTTGTTTGTTTTATTTTTCTCGATTCCTGCGGCAACCCAACCAAACACAGAACTGACTGCGTACAACCCTTCAGATATTTTAATTCTTTCAGAATAAACTACATTCCAGAATTCATCCCCGCCAATTAATATCTCAACATCTATGTTATTTTTTCTTGAGCAATCGGCGATCTGCAACCCCATATGCTCCATGAAGTCTGCAATTTGTTTACTAGGCACACTGATGGACGCCGAGGAAATAACATCCGAGATCAAACATTCAATTTTTATTTTATTATTTTGTTTCCAATTCTGAATTTCGATTTCAACGACCGGATAGGAATGATTCATTGCCTTCGTCGCACCAAATGAATAAACAGAAAGTCTTTCATAACGGATTGGAGTAAGTTTTAAATGGTCGGCCAATTTTTTCGTTTATAAAGGATCTGTGACTGCCTTGATCAAGAATTAATCTAGTTAATTTTGATTTATACTTAGAACAAGCATAAACTGTACAAGTTTGTAATAATATTTCC